TTTATTTGTCAGCGTTTTGGACATGTATAGACTTTCCAACCTTGTCCAAATTACACGTGCAGTGTCTTCATCAATGATGTTATTTACCACATTATCTGATAAGTGCAACCTGATTGCACTAGCAGCTCTTTCATCCAAGTCAGCCTAATCCTCAGCTTTCATGGTATTATGCTTTTTGGCATCAACATCTAGTACCTTGTGTAATCCTTGTTGAATGAGCAGATCCCTCGTTCTTCTTTGCCATGTTGAGAAACAGTTATCTCCGTTGAATTTTGCTACCTCGTACTTTACTCCGGACATTTTTATTTTTCACCGAGTATAATACTACCGACAGTGAATAGCAGAGGCACTTTCTTGTCACACAGAACTCCAAATGCTAACCTCCATTTCGTCCACCCCACCTCTATACGGTGTGTGACATCCTCGTCGATCTCTCCACTCTCATGGATAACTGACTTAAGGTACTTAAAACTGCCTATCTTGGAAATGCCCTGCGATCCAAGCCTCTCGTCCATGCCCTCTTCCCTCGGCTCGGCACTGAACTTACACTTAAGGTATTCCGTCTTTGTTCTGCTCAACTTGAAACCCTTTGATTCAAGGGCCTGTCTCCAAACCTCCAGCCTCTCGTTAACCCCACTCCACGTCTCGTCAATCAAAACAATGTCATCAGCTAATAACATACACCATGACACCTCTCCTTGAACATGGTGTGGCAGTGCATCCATCACCAGAGCAAACAAGAATGGGCTGAGCGCAGATCCTTGGTGTAACCCCATAACAACCGAAAAATGATAGGAGTCGCCTCCCACTGTCCTAACCCGAGTTTTAGCTCCATCATACATGTCCTTAATCGCCCTAATGTAAGCAACCGGCACACCTTTAGCCTCTAGGCATCTCCAAAGAACCTCTAGGAACATTGTCATATGCTTTCTCTAGATCAATAAACACTATGTGCAGATCCTTCTTCCTATCCCTGTACTGTTCTACCAACCTCCTAATAAGGTAGATAGCTTCCGTAGTAGAACGACCCGACATGAACCCGAACTGGTTGTCTGATACAGACACCGTCCTCCTCACCCTCGCTTCTACTATCCTCTCATACACTTTCATGGTATGACTAAATAGTTTGATACCCCTATAATTGTTGCAACTCTAGATGTCACCTTTGTTCTTGTACAACAGAACCACTGTACTCCACCTCCACTCGTCCGACATCCTCTTCGTCCTGAAAATAACATTAAATAACCCTGTCAGCCACTCCAGACCTGCTCAACCCATACACCTCCAAAATTCTACCGGAATCTCGTCAGGCCTGGTAGCTCTGCCCCTGCTCATCTTTCGCATAGCTCCCACGACCTCCCCAACCTTGAAGCTCCTACAATACCCAAAATCGCAGTGGCTCTCGGAACGCCCCAACTCGCCTAACACAATATCCTGGTTCCCTTCTTCATTTAGAAGTTTGGCCCCTAGATCCTCGTACATACGACTAAAAGCCGTTGTTTTAGCCTCGGTGACCGCCATCTTCGCCTCCTTCCTAGCTACTTTATACCTCTCCCTGTTCGCACTCCTCTCAGCCTCGCATGCGCTACCTACTAACTTCAGGTACGCCGCCTTCTTCTCTTCCACTTTACCTTGGACCACTTCATTCCACCACCAGTCGATTTTGTGCCCGCCAGCTAAACTCTTTGAGACTCCTAACACCTCTCTCGCTGCCTCCCGTATAATACTTTTTAAAATTAATATAAAAAATAGTTTATATAAACTTTTAACAACCTTTCTAATTTTTTTCTAAAATATAATTTTCGAGAAGTTTTTACATCTTAATAACTTAATATAATAAATATATAAATGTATATACCAATCGCTGGTTCATTTTACATGTTGATAGAATTGATGAAAAATACTTGCTCCTTTTTATATACATTTAAAAAGAATATTTTCTTAATTTTAATATTGTAAGTGGCGATGAAGGCCCATTTCCTCATCATTATTTGGCATATATACATGAAATTAGTAGATACATTATTTATTACATAAAGTATAGTAAATTGATCTACAGTATATGTTTTTATTTCAATTTACTACTGGAACTAGAATAGATCCGCCACTGATTGTTGTCTTTTGACTCGACGATATCAGATGAGAGAGCAAGTTTGGAGCAGGGCTTATAAGTTCCTAGAGAGAGAGAACCACTGACCTTAATTCTCAGAATCCGTTATTCTCCGTCGAGAGAGACAGAGAGAGAGAGGGAGAGAGGGAGAGAGATACAGAGAGAAGTGATATGCTGTGAGAATCTCAATCTGTGTTATTTGGACTTGTTGTAATAGTTGATTCGGAATCCGACATTGAAGTTAGGATCTTCAGACGACGGAAATTCCAAATACCTAATTTGATGAAGTGATTATTATTCTATTAGTTGTCGTCGTCACTTGATTCTAGATTTTCAATTTGGATCCTCGCTTCTTTTTTTTACTTGATTTTGAGGCTGTTGATTTATCGGGGGGAAAAGATGAACGGTGGTGATGTTGCAACAGAAGCTCCGGCACCGCCGTTAGAGTGGAAATTCTCTCAGGTCTTTGGTGAGCGTGCGGCCGGCGAAGAAGTTCAGGAAGGTAAACTACTTTATCATCTCACTCTTTACTCTATGGATCCACACTTGTGTTGAATTAGGTTTTGCTATCTGCTATTTGGTTGTTAATTGCTCGAATAATTACTATTTCATTATTGACCAGTAGAGAAAAATCTGTTTGATTTGATCATGGATTTGATGGTGTGATTTTGCATGCGGTGTTTAACCAATATACCTCATATGAACAGTCTATTAATGAACTAACCAAGTTCAGTCCTTTGAAGCTATATTTCATTTTAGAAAAATATTGGAGATCCTTGAACTCGTGTCTTGATGTCTCTTGTGTTTGACTGGCGAATCAGTACTCGTTATTGATTTACTGAAGGACTATGGAGCTGTAATTACTTTGACTTCATTTGCAAGAGTGGTGAGTTGGTGGTTTGGGTCATGTATTATTACCTTACTGTTTAAGTGCGTTGAGCTATTATACTTAAAATTTCAAGCATAAGGGCGTAAATTTCTAGTGAAAGTTGTGGATTTGCCACATGTGCATTTGTGTGACAGGGTGGTTCCGTATTGAGACACTAACTTAGAATAGTCGCTAGCCCAAAAAAATAGCCGGCAAATGTATATATTACACATAATTAGTGTGTAATATATGTATATTGGCTAGGGGCTGTACCGAGTGGACACATTTGTAGCTTCCCCTTCCGTATTTCGCCTCTAGGTATTGTCTACCTGCCCGCAATGTCAGTTTTAGGTACATGTACCCCATTGCTTAAGGTTGTTCAAGTTTTTCTTGATTCAGTCAGTGACCACTTGTCATGTTATTTTCATTCCACTTTTGTGATGTGAATATAGTAGTGAAGTTGTAGTACATATACTAGTAAGTTTCTTGAGATTGCAGGGCATGTTTCAGTACGACAGGCTGCTCAGAGAGCAATTTATATTGGGGTATTGGCGGAGATGGTCAAGGTAGAGACAATACCTTTCTTGTGTTTTGGAAATATTGGACGTTGCTCATGGGGCTTGTCGGCTTGAATCCAGCCAAGTGTTTAACTGCACATGATTAATGGAGACTGTCCCAGAGAGAAGATTTTGGTTCAAGATTGTTCTTCTATTAGAAGTTGTCCATTTTACATAGTTCCAAATTTGTTTGACGAAAGTTTGTTTCACCATTGTTGGGCTTCCAGAAAGTAGTCTGCATCCGCTCTTTTTTTGGGGTTTCATGATGCTATGTCATTGGACACTTGATGTGTGATAAAGTTGTTTATTGTGAATTTTATCGACAGCTCCTCGACAAAGTTCATCGTATTTTCCATCTGCTGAGTGTTCTAACCCTCTGCAGCTCCTAGCCTTGTGCTTTAGCTTCCTCTTTTATAACTATCCTGATTTTCTTGCCCAAAGTTTTATTTTTTTGGATAAGTGAAATTTTATTGGTTGCACCAAGAAAGTGCTAGTATGTACGTCAAAGATTTCTAACCCCCTTAATAAAGAAGGGATTCCACAAAGCCGACAAAAGTATTTACGTCGCAGTCAATCTTGAGCTTACACTAAGAATACAGAAAATGTAAGGCTCTAAACATAACAAGTGTATTGAGGAGTTTTTGTTTTCAAAACACCTATTTTTTTTTAAAAAAAATATAACAAAGAGGGACAGTGTTCCAAAAGTCTTTGAGATGCTTCTTTGTTCTCTGCCCATTCAGCTGTGTACAGCTTCTTTCAGTATTTCTGGATGTACTTATTGTATCCAAAACACATTAAGGAACAAGGTCCATACTTCCCATGCGTGCTAACCATGCAAGAAAAGATGAGCGGGAGATTCACTGTTGGCTTCACATAGAAAACACCTATTGCATAGCTGAAAATTTCTATTCGTAAATTTTCCTGTGTTAGGCATGCTTCCTGTAGTGCCAGCCAGTCAAAGCAAACTGCTCTTGGGTATGCTTTTGTCTTCCACACTGCTTTCCAAGGCCATATCTCCTACCCGCTGGAGATTTCAGCTGGTTATAGCAAGATTTTACGGTGAACTTTCTTTTTCTGTCTTCTTCCCATGGTAGAGAATCATGAATGTCTGGGTGTATTCAAACTCCCTCTACTCTGAATAATAGTTGTCCAAAATCCAAAGTTTTCTACTTCCCAACCGATTTTTTTTACCTTAATCCAAAATTCCAATCTTCATTACTCCAGCACACGGAAATTGTTGCATCTTGCTTTGGCTTCATACCAAAAAAAATTCATGAAAGTTCTGCTTCAAGGGAGATTAAATCCAACCAAGGATCCTGCCATATTCTGGTTTTAAGCCATCTCCTACAACAGTAAACCATTGATGCTCTTCCAGAGAGATACACCATATGCCCTGTAGCTTGTTTAGTTCTTGCTCAGAAGTTTATTGATGTCTGAGAAGTATGTTTGACGACCTTTGGTATAGCTTAGTTCATTGTGCCAGTTAAATGATTACTGAAGTACCTGTCAGTATAAAAACATAATAGGTGGAAGTATTGGCAGGTTAGATTGACTGGAAACATTTTCATAATTTGCACGATTTGGCACCAAATGTTTCTCTTACAGAAGTTATATCCAGATTCGGAGTTTCTTTCTGACTTTATTCAGCCCTTGGGTTATTTTTTGTAGAGATGGAGTGTCGTTGAAATCCATTTGCTCTAAATAGAAACCACAGTGAAACTCCTTCGTTGTCTTGCTTTTTTAGGCTTGACTTTTCGTTCCTCATGGTTTATTGCAGTGGTGGAGCCAAAAATCCTAACAAGGGGATTCAAAAACTAAAAGAATACCATGCCTAGGATTCAACTTGTTACCTAAAGCAAATTTTTAACCCCGTTACCACTAAATTTAAAGTTTCCATCATGTCAAGGGGATTTTAAAACTTATATATGCACAAAAGAATTTGTTTTTACCCTATTTGTGCAGTATAATTTTCCAATGAAGGGGATTCTATTGACCCCCTTTCATTGAATTGGTCAAGCATGCAGAATGTGCACACAAGACGAAAACAAGCGCTGAATGATAGACTGTTGATCATTGAAGTTTGCCGAAGTAGGAGTGCTTAAAGCCAACACCTGTAGTTACAGAAGTCCTACGTTATGGAGCTAGTTTGCTTGACTCATGGCGGTCTTCTTATTCTGACTAAAGTCATCTGCATCTAAATAGTGGATGCAGAAAAACTTATTTTATGTTTCAAGCTCTTTACAAATCCATGGCAGTACCAAATTCACTATGTTTATTGGCAGTTATGCCCTGTTTTAAATAGACGAGTTGCATTAGATCAATAGTAATCCTGCTTAAGGAAAGTGCTGGCTGAGATTTTATTATGTGTTTTAAATAACTTATCTCTTCCTTTTTCTAATTATGTTAGCATGGTTGAGACTTTGATTTTCTTTTCTTCCGGTGCTTCTAAAAGCGAAAGCGCAAAGAATGATAACCCCTCGTTTGAACTGAAGCAGACAGCGAAAAGTGAAGCACACTTTTGAACTGAAGCAAACGAATTATGAAAATTTTAAAAAATTCCAAATTGGAATTTAGTGATCCTACTATAATAATGAAATTGCAATAAAAATACTTACTTAAGCATTCAATTTACGATAATGTTGATATTAATACAACTCCTCAAAGTTGAGTTTCAAATAATTAAAAGCTTCTCATTAGGATCACTTGACACATTATTGTTTGAAGCGCACCCTTCTCTGAAGCGCGTGGCGTCGCCGTGAAATGATAACCACATGTTTGCATCCTTTCGTTGCTTTGAGCAACTAAGGGGGGGCTTTTAATAACACTGCCTTCTTCAATAGCTGTTCTAATAATTCCTCTAAATGTTCCTTATTCTTTTATAAGGAAAACAAAAGGCTCGTCCTTCGGAGCTTTCTTTGAATGATGCATATGAGTCAGTTCATTTATTGTAGGTTTTGTACAGTAACCTATCAAAGAAAAATGTAGGCTTTGTACAGTTCACGTCAACGCTGCACATTATCATGATGTGGGGGTATCCAGAAAGAAGAACACCGTGACTAGTGAATTTGCTGCCAGTAGCATTCTGTGTTGCGTGAAATTTATTTCATGGTTGCATTCATGTGAGTTCATTTAATGTATGATTTTACAGTTTAGGATAATGCAGCATTTATGCTGATATGGCAACATCCAGAATGAAAAGAAAGGAACAGAGAGAATGTCTCTCAATATTGTGCATGGATTCGTCTTAATAATGCCCAGCTTGTTCTTTGGTGTATAACATAGTTTAAATAGTAGTTTTAGGCAGTTCGTGTTACCTGAAGGTAGTTGCTGGTGGTTTACTGTCAGACTTATGTATAAGACACGTAGATGAACCTTTCTAGGAAACAACAGAATTGAATATCTTGCAATAGATTTCACGTATGGAATAATGGCGCTGATTCTTTCTGCAGTTGCACAACTTTCTCAAATAGTAGGACAATATTTACCATGCTCACGGTGTTTAGACATTTTGGACACTCTTTTCTTTCTGTCTCATGATTTGTTTTCTTGTCTTTGTTTTGCAGTTGATATCATCTCAGCAATTGAGTTTGACAAAACTGGCGACCATCTTGCCACTGGGGATCGAGGGGGTAGGGTGGTATTATTTGAAAGGACCGATACAAAGGAGGTTGTTCTTCAATCTTGTAGTTATTCAGAATTTGGAGGTTCTTTTGATTGATCAGTCTTTTCCTTGCGCTTATTTTTTTGTTTAGCATGCTGGAAGCCGAAGAGAATTAGAGAGAATGGACTATCCAGTCACCCGGCATCCAGAGTTCCGCTACAAGACAGAATTTCAAAGCCACGAGCCTGAGGTACGCGACTCATCTCTGTTTCTAACCTTCTTTCATGGTGTAATTTCTCTCTTAGGAACTCTTGTGTCATGTACTTGCCTGAGAAACAATATTTGAAAGAGCTTCAGAGAAACATTACCTTATTGTTTCTATGTCCTGGAAATAGATGGATGTTTTACCATTTGAGCCACCACTTTCTTGTGTCTATGGTGGACTACTGACTTTTAGTTTTCACTCTTCATGTGCTCTTAGTTCCTTCTTTTTGCCGCTTCAAGTAGAATTCTTATGCTCTCATCTACATCATTCAGTTTGATTATCTGAAGAGTTTGGAGATTGAGGAGAAGATCAACAAGATCCGGTGGTGCCATATGCCTAATGGCGCTCTCTTTCTTTTGTCTACTAATGACAAAACTATAAAGTTCTGGAAGGCAAGTTATTTCATCCGATTTGCTTCTCTGTGATTCTATGTGGTAGTACATGCAGAGTAGGTTTTTGATACCCCTATCAAGTAAAATGAAAATGTTTATTTCGTATTTACTTTTCCGAGGCTTAAGCTACAGTAAGTTTTGTGGGAGAGGGATACTAATAGCAATTTCAAGTGTGTAGCCTGGTATGTCTTCATCTTCATTCATATTCATGGTAGTACTAGAAATTGTTGTATTAGGAAGAGGGTGAGAAAGTTATTCAGTGTGGTGGGATGGGATGCCTGGGAAAAGTGATATCTAGTTGAATTGAGAAATTGTCTGATGTGCTGTTGCCTCTTATAATTCGTACATCGGCTATCAACCAACCCTTCTTCCATTCTTGTGGAATGCATATGTTGAGATACTATGCATTTTTTGACAAGCTACTGTTTAAGCACCTCGGTCTTCTTGTGACTGTCTATGTTGGCTGCCTAGAACATCCTAATTTGCTTCCTAATTATCTTTTCCTGAATTTTTCAGGTCGAAGAGAAGAAAGTCAAGAAAATATCCAACTTAAATATTGACCCTTCCAGAGCTATTGCAAATGGCAGCATGCCCAGTTCAAGTGTTTCTTCCAGTCAAAAAAAGTATCTTGCAAATGGGTGCTACACAGATGGATCTTCCGACTGTCTAAGCAATGATTTTTCGTTTCCACCTGGGGGTCTTCCTGCATTACATTTACCTGTGGTAGTTGTACTTAAGATATATATGCAACTTCCTATCTTGTACTACATATATATGTCAAGTTTTTCTATGTGTATTGGTTTTTTAACCTCTCAAGTATGTACATTAGTTCTCTTAAGTATGCCCAGCATTTACCTATAAAAACAATGATGTCCATGGGTATAAAGTTACATCTAATTGTCGGAAATAAAATAGTGTAGAAAAAGGAATATAATTCAGGAGTTGATAGTCTGAGCTGAACTGCATATATGATATTTGTTAGTCCGGGTTATTGGGGAAGTCTGTTTTGATGACTGTGCATACTATTCCAAAACATCTGTTAAGGTCTATAGTTTTGGTTAATGTTCATCCATGTATTGGTGCAAAGTGTAACAAGAAGCCAGAAACATATCTGTATTTCACATTTTAGTACATTCCGCATTGGTCCTTTTAGTATTTACTAATTCTACGTACAATCTGCATATGTGCTGGGCCAACACATAGGTGCTTTATCCTCTACTTCTCAGGCTGGGTAACCGAAAACCTTTATGCCTTTGTTCTTCCTTAAATCTTTCCTCAACTTGCTAAAGGAATTTCCATGTGGCTTTAGCTCACGTCCCCTCTGACAAATGTTGTTTGTTGAAATTTATTTGAACGTCTTTTTTTTCTTTCATCTGCTTCTGAAAGCTTTGGAATCTGAATTGCAGGTTTCAAGCAGTGAGAGCAGCGTTGCTGCTAAATGTAGAAGAGTATATGCCCATGCACATGACTATCATATAAATTCTATCTCAAATAACTGGTGAAGATCCATTCTATAATTGGAAATCTGATTTACTATGTATGCCTTCTATTTGTTAGAACTTATCGTAATTTCTGTCCTTTTCTTTCTTCCACTTAGTGATGGGGAAACATTTATATCAGCTGATGATCTCCGGATAAACCTTTGGAACTTGCAAATAAGCAATCAAAGTTTCAATATTGTTGATGTCAAGCCAGCAAATATGGAAGATCTAACTGGTGAATTTTTGATGTGTTGATCTCAACTTCCATTTTGTTGTGGGCACTTCAAATACATGATAGTTTTAATTTTTATTTTTAATTTTTCAGAAATGCTTGTTTCAATGAATGCTCATATTTGTTTAGATGTTTGTTATTGCAGAGGTGATAACTTCAGCTGAATTTCACCCTACTCACTGTAACATGTTGGCTTATAGTAGTTCAAAAGGATCAATCCGTCTGGTAGATTTGCGGCAATCAGCATTGTGCGACTCCCATTCTAAATTGTGAGTATCACATTATTTAAGTTGTAGTCCTTTGCTGGTAGGTGTTTGCTTATCCTCTCTATGTCAAAACAAGATATCACCTGCGCAAAAGAATTCTACAAGAGAGCTAGTTTCTTACCAGTATAGCCCCTGGAAAGCCTTTTTTCAAAAAAGTATAGGGCCCCTGGAAAGATATTCTTCAAAAGATAAATATTTTAAAATTACTTTCTCATAGCTTTATTAAGTTGAAATGTTGGTTACTCATATATGCAGGTTTGAAGAAAAGGAAGCTCCTGGCTCAAGATCCTTTTTTACCGAGATAATTGCTTCAATTTCAGATATAAAATTTGCGAAGGCTGGAAGATACATACTTAGTCGTGACTATATGACCCTTAAGGTTGGTTTTTCTCTCCCTTTATTTTCTCTAGCTCTTCATCTTTTCAGTTGACTGATGTGAGAGATGCGCAATGTAATTGCCTTGTGTATTATATGCTTGACTCTGTAAGTACTCTCTGATATGTAAATGGGGTGCATAAGGAAAACAGAGTTCTGATAAGTCCGGAGGTAACATAAGCATGGTCCATGGGCATCTCTTAGTCACGTTCCTGGTAATTGGTTTAGAACAAGTTTAATAAATGAGCTGTGGCACACTCTTTACTGCCGGAATGGCGGAATCTGACTTAAATTGCCAGCATACCAACTTACCCCCCCCCCCCC